TTGATTACTTACCGTTTTCTGGGTGAACTTATATAAAGCACATCCTGAAGCTAGTAGCAAATTTTATTCTGGATGCGGGCCGAATACTGATCATATTCGGTCGGGTTGCCCATCAAAGAAATCTGTTGTTTATTTAGACCCGAAACTTCTAGTGACATGGGAGCAACAACACTGACGACGCACCTAGATTCGGCACTTAAAGGTGTATTTTTAATAATCTCGTTTGCACTGGTGATGCCAGATTGAAGTGTCTTTTATATAAAAATGCTAGACTGTTCGAACATATTTATGAAACCGGGAGAAGGGGAAAAGGCCGACTTCGTGAAAGACCTGAGATTAGCAATAATAATTTTAAAAAAATATTTAAAGGCTCACCTGGAGTAACTTTTTGATAGTCATAAATACTTAACAAAATATTAATTTTATATATGGCGTTACTTTTGACGGCATAAGCAAACTAGTGTATATTATAGTTACTACTTTTAAACGAGAGAAAAAAGAAAAAATGAAAAATCTGCAAAAACTATTGTAAGATTTAATAAAAAATAAAAATTGCGTTCCCCTGTGCGTTTGAATGTTTGTAATAAAAGACAGACAAAGTTGCTGTAGAGTGCACAATGTTTACAAACGTTGGTTGTTTTTTCTTCCGCAATGTAAAATATAAGATTCCGGAATAATGCTTGTGTTTCGTTTCCCCTTGGTTAATTGGATTGCATCCAAGATGAAAGTACAATGATTTCTTTGTGTTTCATCTTCTTTTAATCTTTACCCATTAAATAGTGAAATACATCCAAGATATCTAGGATGAGATTACCTTATTCTTTACACAACAAGTAATGGAATAGGGTTCAAGATGAGATTACCTTATTCTTTACACAACAAGTAATGGAATAGGGTTCAGGATGGGATTACCTTATTCTTTTTACACAACAAGTAATGGAATAGGGTTCAAGATGAGATTTTACCTTATTTATTTACACAACAAGTAATGGAATAGGGTTCAGGATGAGATTACCTTATTCTTTACACAACAAGTAATGGAATAGGGTTCAGGATGAGATTACCTTATTCTTTACACAACAAGTAATGGAATAGGGTTCAAGATGAGATTACCTTATTCTTTACACAACAAGTAATGGAATAGGGTTCAGGATGGGATTACCTTATTCTTTACACAACAAGTAATGGAATAGGGTTCAGGATGAGATTAATTTATTCTTTACACAACAAGTAATGGAATAGGGTTCAAGATGAGATTACCTTATTCTTTACACAACAAGTAATGGAATAGGGTTCAGGATGAGATTACCTTATTCTTTACACAACAAGTAATGGAATAGGGTTCAGGATGGGATTACCTTATTCTTTACACAACAAGTAATGGAATAGTGTTCAGGATGATATTTATTTATTCTTTACACAACAAGTAATGGAATAGGGTTCAAGATGAGATTACCTTATTCTTTACACAACAAATAATGGAATAGGGTTCAAGATGAGATTACCTTATTCTTTACACAACAAGTAATGGAATAGGGTTCAGGATGGGATTACCTTATTCTTTACACAACAAGTAATGGAATAGGGTTCAGGATGAGATTAATTTATTCTTTACACAACAAGTAATGGAATAGGGTTCAGGATGAGATTACCTTATTCTTTTACACAACAAGTAATGGAATAGGGTTCAGGATGAGATTACCTTATTCTTTACACAACAAGTAATGGAATAGGGTTCAGGATGAGATTACCTTATTCTTTACACAACAAGTAATGGAATAGGGTTCAGGATGAGATTACCTTATTCTTTTTACACAACAAGTAATGGAATAGGGTTCAAGATGGGATTACCTTATTCTTTACACAACAAGTAATGGAATAGGGTTCAGGATGAGATTAATTTTATTCTTTACACAACAAGTAATGGAATAGGGTTCAAGATGAGATTACCTTATTCTTTACACAACAAGTAATGGAATAGGGTTCAGGATGAGATTACCTTATTCTTTACACAAACAAGTAATGGAATAGGGTTCAAGATGAGATTACCTTATTTCTTACACAACAAGTAATGGAATAGGGTTCAGGATGAGATTACCTTATTCTTTACACAACAAGTAATGGAATAGGGTTCAATGGAATTATTCTTTACACAACAAGTAATGGAATAGGGTTCAGGATGAGATTACCTTATTCTTTACACAACAAGTAATGGAATAGGGTTCAGGATGAGATTACCTTATTCTTTACACAAACAAGTAATGGAATAGGGTTCAGGATGGGATTACCTTATTCTTTACACAACAAGTAATGGAATAGGGTTCAGGATGAGATTAATTTATTCTTTACACAACAAGTAATGGAATAGGGTTCAAGATGGATTACCTTATTCTTTACACAACAAGTAATGGAATAGGGTTCAGGATGAGATTACCTTATTCTTTATTATTCTTTACACAACAAGTAATGGAATAGGGTTCAGGATGAGATTACCTTATTCTTTACACAACAAGTAATGGAATAGGGTTCAGGATGGGATTACCTTATTCTTTACACAACAAGTAATGGAATAGGGTTCAGGATGAATATTTCATTTATTCTTTTACACAACAAGTAATGGAATAGGGTTCAAGATGAGATTACCTTTATTCTTTACACAACAAGTAATGGAATAGGGTTCAGGATGAGATTACCTTATTCTTTACACAACAAGTAATGGAATAGGGTTCAAGATGAGATTACTTCTTTACACAACAAGTAATGGAATAGGGTTCAGGATGATATTTATTTATTCTTTACAAACAAGTAATGGAATAGGGTTCAGGATGAGATTACCTTATTCTTTTTACAACAAGTAATGGAATAGGGTTCAGGATGAGATTACCTTATTCTTTACAAACAAGTAATGGAATAGGGTTCAAGATGAGATTACCTTATTCTTTACACAACAAGTAATGGAATAGGGTTCAGGATGAGATTACCTTATTCTTTACACAACAAGTAATGGAATAGGGTTCAGGATGGAATATTACCTTATTCTTTACACAACAAGTAATGGAATAGGGTTCAGGATGAGATTACCTTATTCTTTACACAACAAGTAATGGAATAGGGTTCAGGATGAGATTACCTTATTCTTTACACAACAAGTAATGGAATAGGGTTCAGGATTACCTTATTCTTTACACAACAAGTAATGGAATAGGGTTCAGGATGAGATTAATTTATTCTTTACACAACAAGTAATGGAATAGGGTTCAAGATGAGATTACCTTATTCTTTTACCTTATTCAACAAGTAATGGAATAGGGTTCAGGATGAGATTACCTTATTCTTTACACAACAAGTAATGGAATAGGGTTCAAGATGAGATTACCTTATTCTTTACACAACAAGTAATGGAATAGGGTTCAGGATGAGATTACCTTATTCTTTACACAACAAGTAATGGAATAGGGTTCAAGATGAGATTACCTTTATTCTTTTACACAACAAGTAATGGAATAGGGTTCAGGATGAGATTACCTTATTCTTTACACAACAAGTAATGGAATAGGGTTCAGGATGAGATTACCTTATTCTTTACACAACAAGTAATGGAATAGGGTTCAAGATGAGATTAACTTATTCTTTACACAACAAGTAATGGAATAGGGTTCAAGATGAGATTACCTTATTCTTTACACAACAAGTAATGGAATAGGGTTCAGGATGAGATTACCTTATTCTTTACACAACAAGTAATGGAATAGTGTTCAGGATGAGATTACCTTATTCTTTACACAACAAGTAATGGAATAGGGTTCAAGATGAGATTACCTTATTCTTTACACAACAAGTAATGGAATAGGGTTCAGGATGAGATTACCTTATTCTTTACACAACAAGTAATGGAATAGGGTTCAGGATGAGATTACCTTATTCTTTACACAACAAGTAATGGAATAGGGTTCAGGATGAGATTACCTTATTCTTTACACAACAAGTAATGGAATAGGGTTCAGGATGAGATTACCTTATTCTTTACACAACAAGTAATGGAATAGGGTTCAGGATGGGATTACCTTATTCTTTACACAACAAGTAATGGAATAGGGTTCAGGATGAGATTAATTTATTCTTTACACAACAAGTAATGGAATAGGGTTCAAGATGAGATTACCTTATTCTTTACACAACAAGTAATGGAATAGGGTTCAAGATGAGATTACCTTATTCTTTACACAACAAGTAATGGAATAGTGTTCAGGATGAGATTACCTTATTCTTTACACAACAAGTAATGGAATAGGGTTCAAGATGAGATTACCTTATTCTTTACACAACAAGTAATGGAATAGGGTTCAGGATGAGATTACCTTATTCTTTACACAACAAGTAATGGAATAGTGTTCAGGATGAGATTACCTTATTCTTTACACAACAAGTAATGGAATAGGGTTGTGGGTGTGTTTCTTATCCCTCACGAGCGAATGATGAGAATCTAATTTTTATTTTCACAAATTGTTGTCGGAGGACATCGGGAAATTTAACGTTGTTTTTAACACACACACACACACACACACACACACACACACACACACACACACACACACACACACACACACACACACACACACACAAACACAACACACACACACACACACACACACACACACACACACACACACACACACACACACACACACACACACACACACACACACACAGGCAAACATCTATTTTATTATTTGCCGAAATTTGTCTTCTGTACTGTCGAGTTTTACAAGCTTCTATTTCGTTAGCATACGAACGACAATCTGATAAAAGTGCGACAGATCTGTCATATCGTTTATTGCATTAAAAATTTTGTCGGGAATTCTAACCATTTAAATCCATTAAACTGCTTAAAATTAGTTTGTTGAATTTTAGGATAAGAAAATAAAATTAGCAGATATTGAAATGTTCCAACAAGAGATGCACATTTCTTGAATAAGATAATCGAAACTCGTTTCGTCACTATGGCGTCTGGTAAGTACTACTCAGTTTAAACAATGGCTTGTCCGATAAAAAACGGGAATATAAATTGGTTTCATGTAGAGAAGCATTTTCTTAGACTTGTCTAAATGTAGACATTAATTTCACTGTTTAAAACAGTAAAAATAGGCTTATGCCTACTCAAAAACGTGTGCGAACTAAATATATCGTTTATAGTAATAAGATAAATAAATAGCTGTGTGTCCATGCAATCATCAGATTTGTTTTTATCCTCGAACAGTATGGATAAATACATTTTTTTGAAGAATAGCAAAGAGGCAGATGCAATAAATGATCGTAGTTGTGAGGAAGTCATTCAGAATAAGAATATTAAGCGAATAATGTGCAATTAATGATAATTAACACCGAAACTATTTTTATTTCAAGACTTGGTAAATGTGACTACAATCACAGAATAAGATAATTGATTCTAAAAGAGGCAAACAATTTCACTTCTATCTATCTATCTATCTATCTATCTATCTATCTATCTATCTATCTATCTATGATACTCTGTTCATCTATCTCTATGCAACTCCCAGTCTATTCATATCTATCTATCTATCTATCTATCTATCTATCTATCTATCTATCTATCTATCTATCTATCTATCTATCTATGATACTCTGTTCATCTATCTCTATGCAACTCCCAGTCTATTCACATCTATCTATCTATCTATCTATCTATCTATCTATCTATCTATCTATCTATCTATCTATGATACTCTGTTCATCTATCTCTATGCAACTCACAGTCTATTCACATCTATCTATCTATCTATCTATCTATCTATCTATCTATCTATCTATCTATGATACTCTGTTCATCTATCTCTATGCAACTCCCAGTCTATTCACATCTATCTATCTATCTATCTATCTATCTATCTATCTATCTATCTATCTATCTATCTATCTATCTATGATACTCTGTTCATCTATCTCTATGCAACTCCCAGTCTATTCCACATCTATCTATCTATATCTATCTATCTATCTATCTATCTATCTATCTATGATATCTGTTCTATCTATCTATGAACTCCCCCAGTCTATTCATCTATCTATTCATCTATTCATCTATCTATCTATCTATCTATCTATCTATCTATCTATCTATCTATCTATCTATCTATGATACTCTGTTCATCTATCTCTATGCAACTCCCAGTTTATTTACATCTATCTATCTATCTATCTATCTATCTATCTATCTATCTATCTATCTATCTATCTATGATACTCTGTTCATCTATCTCTATGCAACTCCCAGTCTATTCACATCTATCTATCTATCTATCTATCTATCTATCTATCTATCTATCTATCTATCTATCTGTGGAGCATGCATTAGTAAGCTAAGTCATTACTAATTTGTAATAAGTACGACCCTCACAGGACACACCAAAGTTGTGGTTTTCGCAAATACAGAGATCTCTTTCTCTACCTTCCTCTTTTTCGCTCCATCTCTCTCTCTCTCTTCATCTTTCTTTCTTTCTTTCTTTCTTTCTCTCTTTCTTTCTCTCTCTCTCTCTCTCTCTATATATATATATATATATATATATATATATATATATATATAGTGCTGAAAAGTTGACGACCTGATGACCTGACCAAGAAGCCCTTCCAAAAGAATTCGCATGGTCCGTCATTTGGTCATATTTTGGAAAAGTGATTTGAACCGTCTTCCCATATTAGTAAAAACCAAAAGTCTTTCTAAGAAAATAAAAAATTAAATTATTCAGGGTTTTTCAGATTTAGATCGTCTACTCTATTATCCAAACGTAAAGATTGGCTCCGGTTACTATGAGAAATGTGGCGGGGGGGGGGGGAATAGAAAAACAATGCCCGAGAGAAATTCAAGATCTAAAGATGATGAAAATAGAAAACGAAACATGGTTAAAATACCAGAACCTTGTGCAGAAAATGAGAAATATACAGAATTTAAAAAGAAGTCCTACTGTCACTTGATCTTCAACAGAAGCCACCATATATTGATGGATTTGTATTATTTAATGACACCTCCCTTCAGGGCGTAGGCGATCATGACTCTCCACATATTTTTTCTTTATTTTCTGTGAATTGAGTGTTTTCTTTTTATCTTCACCGCGGTTTGAAATTCAGTGCTATCCTCTTAGAGTTTTTGCTAACCAAGTTTAGGTCGTGAGCCTAATGTGCTTGTTAGCTAATCTGGGTGGAGGAGAGCGGATCCATGCCTTTCCCAAGTGGATTCATGAGAAATTGAACAGAATAGACTAGCCTGGAATTTGAACCCGGATCACCACTTCCACTTTCCACGCCGATATCTGCTACGCTGCCCGCATCATTCAGGCTCAGTGTATGATAATAATAATAATAATAATCATAATAAGGACCTGTAACATCGTTCATCGAATACTTCTGCTATATCTGGTCTGTTGCTCGAGATTCTTGACAAAATTTAAAGAAGGATCTGCAATGTAATAGATCATGACCTGGCATCTCGACTTCAGTCATTTTTTCACCGAAAGTTATGTGGCTTCGTTCTGTCTTTTTCTACAAATATTTTCATGATAATTGTTTTGATAAGCTTTTTTCCTTGGTGACTCGACTGCCTGAATTGAAGCTTGCTACTAGAGTGGTAACTAGGTCTCACCATGTTAATACTGAACTAGCTAGATGCAACCATATGTTCTATTCTAACAGTTTTTCTTGCACTTCCCGCCTGTGGAAGTCCCTTCCATTTACTTGCTTCCCGGACAACTACAATCTTGAAAAATTTAAATGCAATATCAATCTTTTTTTTCCCTTCCTTAATTCTGTTCTTTTATTGTCTTTTTCTTTACTTTACTTTGCTAAAGTCTTCTAATTCTATTTACTCCTTGTAAACACCCAGGTCCTAGTAGTATTGTCGCCTTGCTTGGGGTGAAAGGATTAAAGCAATAAGCGATTCAATTTGACTAAAATTTCTCCAAAACAACAAAAAATGTACTGAAAAAGAAAGAGAAAAAAAGAGAAAAAGAGATGTGAAGATATACGAATGATGGCGATAGACAAAAAAAAAAAAAAAGAAAAAAGGAAAAAAAAAGAAAAAGAGATGTGAAGACATTCGAATGATGGCGATAGACAAAAAAGAAAAAAGGAAAAGAAAAAGAAAAAAATTAGAAAAAGAGATGTGAAGACATTCGAATGATGGCGATAGACAAAAAAAGAAAAAGGAAAAAGAAAAAGAAAGAGAAAGAGAATAGTATTGGAGAAAATAGAAAGAAAGATAAGAAAACAAAAAGAAAATGAAGATTGAATAGTAAAAGATAGAAGATAGGAAGAAGAGAAAGTAAAGATTACCATTAGCCAGTGTAGCCACACCCACATGCCTTGAACTTGATTACACTAACAGATCATTTTAGAATCAGCTAGAAATTACTTGGGCCGCTTTTCGAATTTCAGTTATTTCATTCCGAAACAGGACGAAGAAAAAGAAAGAGAAAAAAAAATAGAAATGAAGATCGTAAGTTTATTTGCCTGAAAGGAAGATCCTTGAAAATAACAGCCCTTTTTTCGTTCACAGCAGGAGAAAATTAACGCTTCTAAATCCAAGGTAGGGCCACATTGGCAAGGTGCCAGCATAGAATAGATGAAAAGAAGGGATCGAAAAGAAAGGAAAAAAAAAATAGAAAAAAAAACAACAAAAATATCGGCCCCTATTTTAACTGATTATAGAAACAACAACTTTTTGATGCTACTGTTCATTAAGATAGATATGGGAGAGTGGTTTACTCACTCATCTACTCTATTCTGCGTCAGTTATTGTTTCATGTGAGTGACGAGATATTTGGTTGACATCTGGCGTTCGAATGCATGACTTTTCTTGTGAGGACGCTCAATAAAGCTCATTCGAAATTCAAATTCGGTTCGATAACCCCGAGCTAGCAAACGTCATGTTACTCGACAAATATAGAATAATATCGGAAGTGTGGTCCCTCATTTGACATTGTTTTAATGTTGGAAATATACTTTTGTCGTTATGGGTAGCATTAGATTTTATCATTTTAGGTCATCCGTAATTTAACTATTTAATAAAATGCTCGTAAATTTAAGCAAGATTTCATCACCATTAGACAACAAAATGTGACTTAATACCTACTTTGCTTTTGAACCAAACTGAAAGTTAACGCTCACTGGAAACGGATGTATTTTCATTCTATCTTATGTGAAGAGGAATATTATTTCAAAATCTAGTTAAGTAAAAATTTGCATAATATTTGTCGAATCCTATATTTCTATAACGGCCACTTTAATTTTAGATGTTTTTAATTAGAGGATTTAATTTTTATTTTTTTTTGTCGAAAGATACCAAACATAGCGCGATTACTTTCGGCTCACAGAAATTGACATTAAAACCAGTCCAAAACCAGTCCAAAACCAGTATTAAATCCGCAGAATTATTTTTCCTTTTTATACCATGTCTTTTAGATATGTTTTGGGATTATGCATGCCAAATATGAAAAGTATATCTGATCTACGCTCTTAGATATTAGCTAAAATGTAACGTGATATTTGTGTGTTACAAAATAATTTGTGGCTTTTATGAGTGATGAGCCGCTATTTATGAATCTTTGATACAAATTTCAGCATCTTGTTTTTAAATTGTCTTTTATTAAAATACTGTTTGTTTACTTAAGAAAATAAGTCTGGCACAAGGCCACAAGCTGCTGATTGGTAGGCAGATAAATAAACGAAAGACAGAGAACCTTTGAAAAAAGAAATATTTAAAAGTAGAGAACGGTTATTCTCTCTCAAGTTTGGAGAAGCTTAAAATTCCAACAGTGAAATAAATAAACTCTTTCTGCAGGGAAATAGTTTTACAAATAATGAACCGATCATTTTATATAAATAACTATGAGATGATAGATTAGTTCGAGAGTTTTGAATTGTAATGTTTGAACTTGAAAATCCTGATGTTAAAATTGATAAATGTAATTACAACTTAGGTTACTCCTTCTGGATATTAAAGACAAAAATTTTATTTGTCAGTATACGCCCATTTTTACCGACAAAGGTGAATTTAAAATACATATCAATTTGACAACTTATTAACGAAGGAACAGAAGAATTAACCACTGATAAGTCTGGAGTCTCAGTGTTTAGAAAGTCTACAATACCATATCGCTTGTAGTAAGTACTCCTCACCACTGTAGATGAGTGATGAGTAAGTTAGTCTTGTAGGCCACAGTGAGTGCAGTGGCTACCCTCATCACTGATTGTTCCTTAGATCTTGGAATAGACTAATAGACTAAGATGACTGTTGAAAAGAAAATAGTATCTATTCGAATTTGTTAAAATCCCTACCAGTTTGAATCACCGTTTGAATCACCGTTTGAATCACCGTCCAAAATTGACAGTAATTTCAACTACACTGATACTGTCTATATTTCTGAGATGAGGTATGTACACTATTTATATTATTCAGACTATTGTCCTCATCTTTGTCGCCATATTTATCACAACGTTTCGGCCATTGCACGCTCCGGCCTTCTTCAGGTGGTTGGAATGTTGAACTGAACCCCTCATTTCGCTCGCTGGGGTAGACCATTCCAGTTCCACGTGCTATGTCTAATGGATGATAGTTATCAGTTATCTCCTGTTAATTTCCCTCTGCAATTTCTCCACTGCCTTAACCAGGTATTGAACTCACACTCTTTGGGTCCTATCATTGGATCTAACCACCTAATGAAGGCCGGATACTTAGGAATTCATGGAGTTATTTTCAAACCGACATCTTTATTAATTAAAACATTATTTTAGTGGATATCCGTATTTGTAATAGACTATTTATTGAACTGTTTGTATTTCGTCTGCATATTTTCTTTACTGAGATTTCTCGAATGCGCAAGGTGATCGATCTGACGTGGCTATTTTAGAACATGTGCCGACTTTTTAGGTTAACGAGAAAATCAAAGATTTATAAACGAAATCTTTGTCTTTACTTGTACATTAGGCTTTCACCTACTGTTTTCATATAAAGTCGATAAACGTAAAATGTTAATTTGATGTATCGTTTCTGTTTCAATTTTTGTGGATGAGATGTAATCATTATCTACACTATTGTTCGTATCTTTGTTTTTATCACAAACGTTTAGCCCGTTGTGGCCTCCTCCCTTCATCAAGATCCAGTTAAACTACAGGGGTATTCTGAACTGAACCCTTTATTTAATCTACGGGGAAGGCTGTTCTCATTCCACTACCCATGTCAAGGGATACCTCGTCTAGTTCTTTTTAGTACTGTTCAGTTATTACTCGCCCAGTTTCCATTGAGTTAAAATACACACCGCCCGGCTCAGAGATGGAAATTAAAATTGCTATGTTACCAAAACTAACGCTTT